CTGTATCCACACAGTGATCTGCATGTGGATGCTCATGATGCTTTATTCAAAATAGCCCAAACCTAGAATGACACAAATGTCCAAAAACAAGTGAATGTATAAACAGACATGGTATAGCCACACAAAGGAATACTACTCAGCAATTACAAGGCATTAACTGTTGCTGAAAATACTCACATGGATGGATTTTAAAATTAATATAACACATGAAAGAAGGCAGACACAAAAGAACACAGGTATAATTTCATTTATAGAAAATGGTTAAAAATGCACTGCCAGAAAGTGACAGTGACTCCTCAGACCTGAGGGTTGAAAGAGTGATGAACTGCAAAGGGTTACAAGAAACTTTGAGCTTATGGAAATTCCTATATCTTGATTGTAGCAGTAGTTCCATTAGTGTGTATATTTGTAAACATGCATTGGATTACACATTTGAAAGTGGTGCAGTCTATTGTACCTAATAAATACCTTTATAACGTTGATTTAGTCATCTTAATTTCTCCATACTAGCAATTAGCAGCTAGAAAATGAAATTCAATAAAAAATAATAGAGATTAATATCCAAAATCATTACATGCTTAAGAATACATATAATGAAGCAGATACAAAGCCCCTGAAACCTATTGGTGAGAGAAATTAAAGAAGACTAAATAGAGAAATATATTACATTCATGGATTGGAGGATTCAATTTTGTTAGGATATTACATCAACATAGTTCTGATTACTGTTTCTAGTAGGAATTTTTAGAGAAATGTAAAACCTAATTTCAAGATGTATTTGAAAATCAAAGAACCTAGAACAGGCAAGTCAGTCCTGAAGAAGCAGTAAGTTGTAGGAGTTATTCTGCTGGATTTCAAAACTCATTCTAGAGCTACAATAATTTTAAAACTGTGGTACTAGTGTAAGTATACAGAAGTATATCAACATACAAAGAATACAGACTCAAACATTATGCTCATATATATACAGTTATTTAAAGTTTTTAAAAACAAAGACACGAGTGCTTCTCATTGGGGAAATGAAAGACTTTTCAATAAAAAGTTCTTGAGTGAAAGAAGTTTAAGACCAGCCTGAGCAACATAGCAAGACCTCGTCTCTACAAAAAATTTTAAAACAAAACATTAGCCAGAAATGGTGATGCGTGCCTAGAGTTCCAGATACTTGGAAAGCTGAGGAAGGAGGATCGCTTGTGCCCAGGAGTTCGAGGTTGCAGTGAGCTCTAATAACAACTGCACTCCAGCCTGGATGACAGAATGAGAATCTGTCTCAAAAAAAAAAACAAACAAAAAAAAAAAACAAAAACAAGCATCTCATATTAATAGTAAGTGGCCAGAATATAATGCTGACTGCATGTTGTGAGGGAATGTATTAAAGGAAACAAATTGAATTCAAGAATTTTTTTGTTTTGTTTTGTTTTTTGTTTGTTTGTTTTAATGTGTGTTTGCTTGTTTTGCAGAAATGAGGTACGGGGGAGAGAAACACCTACTTGGAAAGCACCTATACAACTGAATTGGAAAATGTGGAAAGCGGATTGGGGAAGGGGGACTCTTCCCGAGATCTGGCTCCAGTACTTACAGCAAAGGGAACTTGGGCGAGTTACACACTCTCTCTGCCTTGGTCTCTTCATCAGCAAAACAGAATCATCCCATAAACTGTAAGGTCCGTGGTATCAGAGGGTCCCCAAACGGACTGCACATCTGAGTCATGTTAACAAACACATTCCAGGCCCCACCTGAGGGCACTGAATCAGAATCCCTGCAAGGAGGACACTGGACTGACCTTCCAGGTGTTTCTTACTCTGATCAACTTGGGGGTAGGAACCATTGAGCTCCATCACATCATTCCAAAGCCAAACACAAAAGCAGAACAAGAATGTATTCAATGCAGTCTCTAAAGAGGAGAAAACTGTTGGGGGAACCTAGAAGTGAAGGAGACATGCCTTGCTGGGCTCCATCTTAACTTTATCCTGAGTATGGCAGAGACACGAGCCCTTCGGGACACATGCCTGAGGCAGTGACAGTCCAACTTTGGAACAGTGGAAGCCCTAGTTTCAAATTCAAGCTTGCTTTGAGTAGATGTTAAGTTTACATCTTTTTGCATGGCAACAGGGCCAATTTTCTCCAAGCTGCTCAACTTACAAGAAAAGGAATCGTACTGCTAAGACTTCAAACTTCAGCAGACTTGGGTAAGTAAGTCTTATAAATCTGTTGTAGCCGCCTAACAAGAAACCAGAAATTTAGCAAGTTCTTTTTCATTCAGGACAGTTGTATTCACTAGATCAGAGGCACTGAGACATGAAGAAAAGACTCCCTGAAAAGGGAAAGCATTCCTTCCTGCCCTAGGACATCACTGCCAACTTCAGGGAGGTTGGAACCCAGCTGCCCACTCTACAGTATGGCTTGCTTTTGTGTCTGGAAGGTGTCTGACATGCTGAGAACTCGACCCATTTCAGAGAGCTTTCAGAAGAGCCCGAATCACTGATGGAATTGGACAGCACATGGAAATGGTTCAGCAGGATGAGGGTAAGTGCAGGACACGGCCTCGTCATACTGAGAGACAATGAGTGGCGCTGATGGGGACAGACAAAGATTAAAAACAAAAGTTTGTGCTTCGACTTCAGAAACGCAAACCAATAACTAATTTGCTCTTATAAGTAATAACGAGTATTTTTCTATTTATATGAGAATTTAACCTCAAAACAGAAATCAGAAAAATATTAAGTCCAGGGCATAAAACCTAAGCCATAGCTTATATTTATTCTTTAAAATAGAGATAAGAGTAAAATCTTCTCCATAAAAAACATATACCATGGTTACAAAAAGGCAAAAATCTTAATAAGAATCATTGGTATTCTATGGAAGAGTGAATTAAATACAGCCAAGGGAAGACCCAAGTGTCATACTTCTCTTGTATATTAGGAAGTTCCATTGAAATTCCAGGTAATAGAGGTTATTTCCCATACTGTTAAAGTGAGGTTGCAAACACTTCTAAACTTTGACCCCAAATACTCTAGTAAGGCACATCTCTGTCCTGGAAAATGATACAGTAATGAATACTATTCCCTTGACTCAATATGGTCATTCTGCCAGAATCACAGAAACAAAAAAATGGAAATATGGCCAAATACATGATTTGCTATCCTCTTCTTCAGGTTTCATACCCGTTTCTTATAGATAATAACATTACCTTAAGGATTATGATGAAAATACAAAGTGTAAATATGTGCAGTTTTGGGGAAAAGGCTTCGTACAAATTGGTCAATTAATATTACTCATAATTATATGAATATTCACTGAATTCTATGGATTCTATGAATAATCACTGAATAAATATTGTGATTGCTTTTATTGACAGTGCTCAAGACTCATCCCTCTGTGACCTCAAAAAAGCCATATAACTTTCTGGTCTTTCTGATCTGCAGTTTCACCATTTTTAAAATGAAGAAATTTTGCAAATTTTTCTTCCTCCCGTATAATATCAGGTCTCACACACACCAGAAAATAGATTTATTTACAGCCTTTGCTACATCTCAAAGCACTGTCATTACACAGTGTAGTTGGAGGATGGTGCAGGCTGCTGAGAGGCACGCTTTACAATGGGATTGATCCAGTCCTCCTCCCTTCACTTCCACATGAATGCTGAGTAGCCCGTGGTCACACTTATCACACCTCAACTCAGGCAAGTCCAGCAGCCAAACTTAGGAGACCTGGGCTACAGGACAATCTCCCAAGTTCTAGCCTCACAAAATCTGGGTGGGGATGAAAGCTGAGAAAGTGAGGAGGTGGTTCAGGGGAGGATCACCAACCTGGTTGGTGGTTCACTGAGGATCACCAACCACCCTTGACCATGAGCTTGATCTTGCCAGGTTCTGTTACTGGAATGCAACCACACATGAGTGGTTTAGAGCAACTCAAAATGTATATATATCCAACAGTATTCCATAAGAAGTGTTCATGGCCCTGTTCTTTTCAATATATGCGAAACCTAAATGAAAATAGTTACAGGTTTACAAGACTTCCCAAGATACATGGTAACACATGCTTTCAGGGGATATATACAAATGATTTTTATCACTTGACACCTTGAAAAGAACTCTTGTGGGACCAGACGATCTTTGTAAGTGATAAGTATGAAATGAGTGGTCAGTGACATTAAAAAAGCAAACCAATCCACGCATAGAGGAAGAGCTATGGATGTAGGGATGTGAAACTGGTCTTAAGTGTAGTGAAAACACAAGATGCTTCCCCAGTAAGAGAAAAGAAACCATCATAACAATGGGATGCAACAAGAATACTGAGAAAGGATAGAAAATATTTTTTAAAAATGAATTATTCACTCATTTTCAGTAGACACAGAAAAAAACTGCAGAAGACCCAAAGGATATCATAGCAGTCTAAAATTTCATATCTTTCACTTGTGGAAAAGCATTGAGATCATTTTACCTTAAAAAGAAGGTGGGGTGACTTTGTGACTAGCACTAAGAAAACATAACCTTAGGGGAAACCATCTCTACCTTGATGATTTTATGCACACAAGAGATGAGCAATGAGGAATAGGCTTAGATGTTTTGGGAAAGAGGTGGGCCTGTAGCATTGTCACCAGGGTGCACTAATACTGAGAGTGACTGCTGAAGAAATGGTCCCCATCAGTGACCATCAGGTGAGACCAGGGAGCCTAGTGTTTCAGCACAGGCTGGGCAATTGGAATGCAGGGCTCCTAAGATTCCATGACACCCCCACCTTCTAATTTTGTTATTGCAACTGCAGACCGTTACCTGGCGCGCTGGCTGCTACCTCCCTCACTCTTGTCAGAGTCGGAGCTTTAGGCAGTGCCTTCAACTCTGAGCTCTGGCATCCTGGACCCTGTTTTTGCAGTTAAGGACTCTAAAGTGTTGTGGGGTGTTGATCAAGTTTTTCAAAAACGTAAGTTAACAATTCCAATTATTGTCATCTCTCAGTCCTGTTGAAACCTAATTGATTTCACTAGTTTTTGACCCATCATGTGTTTGGGTTTCTTCTCCCCAGTCCCTGGCTCTACCTCTTCTGCCACAAACGTCAGCATGGTGGTATCTGCCGACCCTTTGTCCGGCGAGAGGGCAGAGATGAACATCCTAGAAATCAACAAGGAATTGCGCTCCCAGCTGGCAGAGAGCAATCAGCATTTCCGAGACCTCAAAGAGAAATTCCTTATAACTCAAGCTACTGCCTACTCCCTGGCCAACCAGCTGAAGAAATACAGTAAGTTCTATAGATTCACCATCACGAAAGTGATGAATGACCACCTGTCTTCTCTCTGAGAAACTGAACGGTCTCTTCATCAAAATTAATGTCATCCTTCCCATACTTCTAGGACAATAGAAGTGGGTATTTTAACCTCATTTTGTTAAACATGGAAAACAGAGGCACAAAGTAGTTAGCAACTTTTCCACAACTGCAGTCTGGCATGAGATGGAACTAGAGTTAAAATCCAACATGTTGACTGCCGACACAGGCACAGAACCACCTGTTTTCCTGAGTAAGGGGCTAAATCATGTTTATGAGAATTCTCTCTGTACCATAGAAGATCCTGCAGACATATAACATCTAGTCTGTTGGTCGAAATATCTGGGACTAATGAACTTCCATTCAGTTCGAGCTTCTTTGAGGCCAAATAGGCAAAGCTCCATCCTGGGGACTCTGGGGGAAACATGGCAACCGTACACTGTACCCGCTCTAACAAGCTTAAAGAAGAGACTGCTCCTAACAGAAACTGTGGTATCTGTGACACCCTTCAAAGCAGGTAGTGTGCCAGTGAGAGGGAAGCCCTGCTTCCTGGGGCACAGGATCTTGTTCCTAAAGAGGAAGAAAGCTGGCACATAAGACATTGTGGAGGTAGCAGTGTAGTGTGCAGAGCAGAGACCCTGGGCCAGTCTCCTGGGCTCCATCCAAGTTGCCTATCTTCTCTTTGTCTCAGTTTCCTCATCGGTTCATTGGGTACTATAATAATACCTACCTCTGTAAATTACTGCAATGAATTACGTGACCTATTGCTTGTACATTTCCTAGAACAGTTCTTGGAACAGAGTAAATGTTATGTATTAGTTCTTCATTCTACTGTTTCTAGCTTAATTCAAACTTTATTAGTATTTGGGCATATTTCTGTCGTTGCCTCACGATCTTATGCCTCATATTTTATGCAATTATATCCAGATCTGATTTTTTAAATGTTTGATATATTTGCACTTGAAATTCCCGGTACAAGGGAAACCATGAGTCCCATAGTGCTAAGGGTCTTTCCGACTGTGCAGGATATCATTACTTCATGCCCCAGCGCAGTGTTTTACAGGAGAGGCTGTAAGGCTTGGAAAGTGACCCAAGATTCAGAGTCAGACCTCAGGGGCTGTGAATTCTGACTCTGCCTTGTTCCAGGTGAATCATCTTCTCAAGCTACTTGATGGGCCCTTGAGTTTCTTTCTTCCCATCTCTAAGTTGGGGAGTATCAGATAACAGAAAGTTGGGAGGTTGATAAATAAAGATGTGGAAATGCCTGCCTGGAGCCTGGTACTGGGGCTGCTTTCATCCTTGGGATGGATGCTGCCACCTGCCCTGTAGGCAGTGATCCCAGCAGCATATCCAGCCTTCCACGGAGGCAGGCATGTCTGTCTTTTCTCAGAGTGTGAAGAGTACAAAGACATCATAGACTCTGTGCTGAGGGATGAACTGCAGTTCGTGGAGAAGCTGGCAGAGAAGCTCAGGCAAGCTGAGGAGCTCGGGTGAGTAGGCCCCGTTGGGGGCAGGCAGATGGGCAGGGGTGTGAATCTCTGAAGTGCAGCAACTCAGCTGGGAGAACTAAGAGCTAAGCTGGGCCAGGACAAGGGCAGGCATTTACATGGCAGGAACATATCACACAAACATTTATAAAACAGAGAACAGTCATCTTAGTAAGTTATTGATTGCAGTTGTTTCTTAAGCCTTGTTTTCTCTTCTTGAAGCCACTAATTGTTTAGGTCAAATTTGCATAACACAAAATAAACCAAAAACAAGTGAACCACTCAGAAGCATTTAGGATACTCAAAATGGTGTGCGATCACCACCACCTTTACTCTTAGTCAGAATCACCTCGTGACTGACTGCGGCGTTTCATTCATTCAATCAGTGTTGCCTTCTTGACCCTGTCATTCTTTTCTTCTTTAATCTTTTCAATTCACCCCATCTGCACCTGGCCACATTTCTGTGCATGGCTTGTGTCTAGTCACTGCAAGATGCGCTAAGTGAATTTTCACATAGAGATGCCCATGGCCAAAGTGAGGAACTCAAAGGACATTCTTGTGGAACTGATTTAGAAAGACACCGACTTTTGTTTACAGAAGAAAAAGGTGAATGGAACATTATCGAGGATCTTACAGAAGCACTCTCTGATATATCAGAAGGCTCTGTGTGTGTGTGTGTGTGTGTGTGTATATATATGTATATGTATGTGTGTAAATATGTGTGTGTGTATATGTGTGTGTATGTGTATACAAACACATATATTCTTCTTTCTCTTGGTCACAGATATCTCTCCAAACATGTTCTGACTTTCTACTTGGAGATCTCCTTGGGGACATTCTGAAAGAAACCTCTGTTGCAGTATTAGACCTGATCACTCATCCCTTTCCATTATTAAATGTTCTCTACTATCTCACCTTAGGCAATATAAAGCCCTGGTTCACTCTCAGGCACGAGAGCTGACCCAGTTACGGGAGAAGTTACAGGAAGGGAGAGATGCCTCCCGCTCACTGAATCAGCATTTCAAGGCCCTCCTCGCTCCTGATGACCTTGAAAAGTCCCAGGGTCAGGACCTCCGAGAGCAGCTGGCTGAGGGGCGCAGGCTGGCAGAGCACCTTGTTCACAAGCTGAGCCCAGGTGAGGTGGCCATGGGCCCTGATGACACACAGCTCCAGGCTTATG